AGTGACCCTATAGGACAAAGTAGAACTGCTTTGTAGGATTTCCAATGCCATAATCTCTCCGGAGGCAGACTGCTACATCTTTCTCCCGTGGAGTTGCTAGTGGATTCGAACTGCTGACCTTTTGGTTAGTAGCTGAGTGCTTAACCACTTCACCACCAGGGCTCCTTTAAAAAACACTTTTTTTTAATTGTAAAAATAATAGTATCTATTTCTAGAGTTGCTGTCCAGATTTAATGAAAATAGTGCAGGGAAAGCACTTAGTACCTGGCACAAACTAGATACTCAATAAAAATTTAGCTTTTCAATTATGAAAAACAATGAAACTCATCCAAGCAGCAGCTGAGACTGGTAACACAAGAAATAAAATTGTTTCAACAGTGGTTTGGTAGTTAACATCAAATAAAATGTATTGGTTTCACGAGTTTCTGTTAATTATAACAGCTCAGATATTGAAATAAACATAGACAAATGGTGTGTGCGTGCATGTATGTGTGTGTGTGCACAGGTGCCCATGAGCATGTGACCATATGTACATTTATAGTCTTCTCCATCAGCTCTTTGGGTAATTAGCTCATCTTCTACTACCACATAAGAATTTCAGCTAATGGATTCCTTCAAAATTTGGGATATATTTGATTTGTATAAAAACTGTGCCTTTATCTCAATGAAACTATTCCAGCCTGCTTTGTGTTCTTAAGATTATTCCCTAAAAAAATGTTCTTGGCACACCACTGAGGGAATACTCGAAATATTAAATGGCAAGAAAATGACAGAATCCAGCCAAACACGCGTGCGCGTGCGCGCGCGCGCACACACACACACACACATACATACATACATACACCACTCAATGCTCAGAAACCCCAAATTTCCATTCTTGTGAATCGCATCTTAATTGACATCATGCCATTAAGTAGCAAGTCTCCTAAAATATTTAATATTTACATTTTATAGAAATTATCATTGCTTTTCCCTTCAGGTTTAGTGACTTAGATGAAAAAGTTCATCTAAGCCTGTGCTGACCTGATCTGAAATTTTTCACTGGGACCAATGCACTTTAAGGCCTGACTTGGGATAATAGAGAACCAAGGTCACGGGGGAAGTGAGCTCCTCGGGTGTGGAACAAGAGGGGACCGGTCACCAGTACTAAAGGGCATCAGTCTGCTTTTGAAAGCTGGATTTTCAACACGTAAGCTAGACTTGAATGACTCCGTACCCCTGGGTTTCAGTGACCATAGTAGTCACGTCTTCTCATAACCACTAGTACAAAAAGCATTTGCCACAACTCCAAAACATTTAACCAAGAAAGAGGGAAAAAATGCTCAGCTCAGAGAATAGCCTTGTGGGAAGTTCATCATATTTCAGAACAATTTAAGCTTCTGGAGAGCAGGGAGCAATTCTGAGTGCCCACAGGGAGTAAAACAAAATGTAAGCCTCACTGGTAACTCGAAATGCAGTTAAGAAGCGGCCCCTGGAGTTGGAAATTCAAGAGGTCCGTGTCTTGTTGAAAACTTAAAGTAGTCCCATCTTTTTATGTCGTTGTTAGGTGCCGTCCAGTTGGTTCCGACTCGTAATGACCATCTGTACAACAGAACGAAACACTGCCAGTTCTGAGTGTACTTTAAAGACCCGTGGGATTTATTTCTGCTCATTTAGAAGTTTTATGTATTTAGAAAAGAGCTACCAGGGATATATTCACAGAAAGTGACTTTAAGCACTAGGAAATGATCTGATTTTTGGCCCTTCAAAGGAAATCAGTAAAAAAAAAGAACAAGATCCTACAAAATGAGTGGTTTCCTCTGGTTAGGCTGCCCCATCACAGCACTTTCCAGAATGAACATGTCGCAGGCTGTAATTGTTTTGTGATTAGTGTGAATGAATGTCCCTTACCACACAGATTCACTAGTGATTTTTAAATTAATAATAAGGCCTTGTATTTACATAGTTTCCATCATCAGAGGAAATCTGATTGCTTTATAGTTGATGAATTCCAATATATCTTCATACTATTCCTGCTGAACGTAAGGATTAGATATGCCAGTTGCATTTTAAAGAGGAAAAATAGAAGCAGAAAGGTTAAAGCACTGGCTGTGGAGAATTCAGAAAGCTATTAATAGAAACATCAATTAACATCTAACAGTCCTAGCTTCTATTTTGGCCCTTTCCCTAAAATATCTGGTCAGCTGGATCAACTTTGATAATTCTTTTGGAAAAGAAGTTGATCAAAACAATTTGTTGGCATTGTTACGATTGACAGAAGTTTGACTTTGTCCCCATTATTCTCAGGATATACAATTGGGCTGAAGACATTTTTATTTATTAGGCCACATGCATTCGTTAGTGGCCTGTCTTAATATCTTTGGAATGCTTTTAAGTCACATGTGTCAGAAGTTTATCCCCATGTAAGGGCAGTGGCTGCAACAGTGGGCTTAAGCATGACAACTATCGGGAGGACGGTGTAGGACCGGGCAGTGTTTCGTTCTGTTGTACGTAGGGTTGCTGAGTTGGAACTGACTCGACAGCACCTAACAACAACAACAACAACAAGGGAGCAACACAAAACTTAAGTTGTGATAATAGTTGGGTGTGATTGTCAAGGACTGGGAATCTCCATCACCTACCTGGCGTTATTTTAGCTGACAAAAAAAGTGAAAGACTCTCCCCCAACAAAAGCATGACTGGGAATCTCCATCACCTACCTGGCATTATTTTAGCTGACAAAAAAAGTGAAAGACTCTCCCCCAACAAAAGCATGAGCGAAATCCTTCATTGTACCTGTCTTAGGAGAAGGTTATTGCCTTCTTTTCTATCACCCACTCCTCCAGCCTTAAAAATAAGAGACACTGATTCTCTTTCCCTCTCTTCCATTACAGTTCCTGCCAGTTTTACCTCTGAAGTGTTTTTCACTTTGTTCCTGTTTTATCTTTTACTGCTGCCACTCTATGCCCATAAATGGGATAACCTCCTTATTTGTCTCCCCAACTTCTGCTTGTTTATTCCTCAGTCCATCTTAGATTAATTTTCCTAATACATCCTCCATAATTTTTGAAATTATAAATTATTCAGGCTCACAAAGAGAATACAGAATAATATGTTGAACATCCCTATCTCTACCATCCAGTCTTTAAAACGCAACATGAGGGATACAGTCAAAAGCTGTCTTTGAAGCCTTCCCCAACCCCCCTTCTCTCCTTCCCTCCCCACTGTCTTGAATTCTGTGGTTTTCATTCTCATGGACGTTTTTATTTACTTTTACCATATGTATGTGAATCCGTAAAAAAATGCATACCACTTCTTGGTTTGTTTTGTACATGGTATCACCCCAATTCTTTCTGCAACTTTCCTTGTTTCATGATGGCTTTGAGATTTTCTTTATGGTTTTGAGATTTACCCATGTTGGTACATGTGGCTTTGTTCTCTTCATTTCATTCCCATAGTCCCCTGAATCCTTATCTTACAATGTCTTCATTCTTCTGAGGATAGACACTGAGATTGTTTGCAATTTTTTTTTAATACAATTATGCAGTAACATTTGTGAACATGCTTCCTTAGGCACATGTGTGAGAGTTTCGCTAAGGCGTATACCCAAGAGTCTAAATGCTGGCAAGTAGGATCTGCTCATTTTCAAATTTATTGTTAAAAAATGGTTGTGCCAACTGACATGCTCTACTTACATGCCGTCCTCCATCTAAAAAAAGACTCTTCATTGGCCTCTCTGCTGGCTTCTCAGTGGAATAGCTCCTTGAAGGGAAGAGCTCCTTTGAACTCTATATGAAGGAACCTTGCCAGGGACTCCTCTGAAAATGCAACATTAGAGGTCACGAATTCCAAAGCTTGTGGACTACATGCTGAAATGTAAACGTGTGAAAAATGCGGGGTGCACAGTGGGCTCTGGGTGGACTGTGGAGAGAGTGCACCCTACCCAAAGACCATCAGATTCTAGTTACTTCGATGCACTTCTGCCGAACATAATGTATCAGTGCACCGTCTCTGGCTATGGACTTCTAATTTATAGTCCCCGACTTTCTTGCATTTTCCTGAGGGTCTGTTTCACAAATGTCTAAACATCCAGTTCACTTTATGAATTGCAAAGAACAGCAATTCTGCAGTCATGAACAGGGAAGAGCAAGGACTGTGGAAGTAGCCTGCCCAGGTTGGAATCCATGCTCCATCACTTACTAGTTGAATGCTCTTGAATAAGTTACGTAAGGCCCCTGTGGCTCAGTTTCCTTGTCTGTAAAATGGGGGAAATGTGAGTACTTGTTTCACAAGTCTGTGGTGAGAAGTAAGTGAGATAATCTGTACATAAAGCTTCCAAGAAGTTACTCAATAAATTTTTGTGGAATTATTGAGAAGAGTAAAAATAAAAAGTTTAATCGCACCTGTTTTGTGTCAGGCATTGTTTTAGGAACTGGGGAGACAGCCGTGACCTTAATACCTCACTCTTTCCCAAATTAAGTAGCCAGCTGGGTTCAAGCCTTTAACATATTTCTTGGCACATGGTGGACACACAAGGAATATATGTTAAATGAATACATGGACCTAAGGATTATCCTAAAAAAAACAAAACAACAAACCAAACCCGTTGCCATCGAGTCGATTCCTACTCATAGAGACCCTATACGACAGAGAACTGCCCCATAGGGTTTCCAAGGAGCAGCTGGTGGATTTGAACTGCCAACCTTTTGTTAGCAGCTGAATTCTTAACCACTGCGCCACCAGGGCTCCAGGATTATCCTAAGGCAAATCCTAGTGAGCCAGGTTGAAGCAAGTAAATTATACCCACAAGGGCTTCACTCTCTCTGTTTTGCTGTATTCTTATTCTTTGAATATTGGTTATTCCTCTGTAATATGGGTAGTAGCTTGCCATTTTCCGTAATATTTGATTAGTTAGTATATGATGATGATGATAAACAGCAAATAATTGACTGTTCCTTAGTTGTACACAAACATTCCCAACCTTCGATCATAACCAGTCGTATTTTGTTCTCCAACTTTAGGTCTCATTGTCCATGAAGGAGCTGCAGTTTACAGAGTGTTTAAGCGCTGGAGAGCCGTTAACTTGCACTGGGATGTCTTAAATTATGACAAAGCCACAGACATTGAAGAAAGTAGCCGGGGAGAGTCTTCCACAAGTAGGACTTTATGGTTGCCATTGACGGCTCTGCGGAACAGAAATTTGGTCCACCCAACGCAGCTAACCTCCCCAAGGTTTCAGTGTGGCTACATATTATTACATCTGTTCAATCGGATGAGGCCCCATGAAGATTTGTCAGAAGATAACAGCTCAGGGGAGGTTGTGATGAGAGTGACGTCAGTGTAGCAAAAGCAGAGCGTGGACCACCTAGCACATTTTGGAATGTAATTGCAATGAATGGTGAAACCATACCACTTCTGAAAAACACATCTATGAACTTTTTAAACTTTATGCTTTTTATATGAACATTTGAATTGCAAATACATTTTTCTGAATAAAAAGGAGTCCTCTTGTTCTTGGTTTTTTGATTTATGACATCTTTTATAAGTTGGTACTTGAAATCATTATATGTATTGTTTAACTGTTCTTGGTTACAAGGATGATGAAAGTTATCCTTGAGACCAAAACTATTTTTTCTTGCTTGTTTTAAATATATTTTTATCAAACTTTTTGCTCCATGTGTAGTTTTTTAGACATGCTCCTCATGGGTAAGAGTTCAGAATGCAGATCCCAAAGTACCTATCAAGTACACAAAACAGAGAGATGTTTCCAGAATTCTCTGCAGAGATGCTCTTCATGCCTTCTCTTAGCTGGCAAATGTGAGCATGACCTTTCCACTGCGATGAAATGATCTATCATCAGAATGCAAGTTCTAGGAATTATGACTTATTTTCTAACTTACAAAACAGTACGAAGAGCTTATTTAAAAAAAAAGATAAAAATGAAAGGAATAAATTAGTTCTATTCCAGTATGTACTACAAAGGCAGAACATCCTACATACTTACAACCCTAAAAGCTCACCCAAATATTGCATCATCATAGTAAACCACTAATTGTCATCCAGTTGACTTCGACTCATGGGGACCCGTCTGTGTGTCAGAGTAGAACTGTGCTCCCTAGGGTTTTCAGTGGCTGATTTTTCAGAAGTAGATTGCCAGGCCTTTCTTTCGAGGCACTTCTGGGTAGACTCGAATCTCCAACCTTTCAGTTAGTGTCCCACCTCGTTAAACGTTTGCACCATGCAGGGACTCCTCATCAGAGCAAGTGTAGTAACATGGCCTTATCTTTGCATAGCCCTCTAATAGACCTATCACAATTATTTTGGTTAATTATTAGTGTCTCGAATTCTGTGAGCACCATTTCAATTAGATTTTCGTTTTGTAAAAACTTATATAACCTACCTAATCATTTAAAAACTGGTCCTATTACTTGGTTCAATGAAGCCCTGGGAAATGTATTCATCAGCAGCTACCAGTGTTTCTCTTACTCTAGACGAGTATTTTTTAAATGAAAAGTGGAAAAGAAAAACTAGGCTATTGACTCCCCAGGAACAGGTTGCTAACTAGTAGTACATGGGGATTTTCCACCTTTCTATCCTGCTAATGGAGGTAATTGGCACATTTTAATGGGCTGTCGCACATTCCTTCCTTAAAAACATGAGTTGAACATGCTGGTCGTTTGAAATAATTAATGATTAGGTTTAAAAGCATATTTGCTAAAATACTTTACATCTTATTTTAAAAAAATAACTTTTGAATGAATAATAGTAGGGTAGTTCATAGGTAGCATCACAATTCCTACACAGCACCAATACTTGAAATAATGTTTTCCCAGTTAAAAATCTATGTCAGAAATGAGTTAAGGATACGAAGTAATGAAATGGGGACAATTCAACCAATATTTAGGGGCTGATCCAGAAGGAAAGAGTGTTAAACATTCTTATTCCAAACATCATTTTAATCCCACATTATTTGAGGGTTCTGGGTGCATAATCCTGGATGAGGCACGAGGAGAGGTCAGACCTGTGAACGTGGTCTCTGGGAGTCTTTGAGGTTGGACGGGAGGCCAGCTTATTTAACAGAGATGCCAGGGATGCAAATAGGCTGTCAAAGCAACAACCCAACCTGCGTACCCTTAATCATCAAAGCAAGTCATCAGCAGCCACCATGTAACAGAAGATAATTGCGGGTACTGTTGACATGACAGTTTTAGAACATTGTGTTAAAAATAACCTATCAAGAGACTTCAGACGCAGACTGGACTATCATGGCTCCAGTACTTAGCAAGCCAGCCCTTTTAATCAGTGTACACCTTTGTATTCTTATCAACTCACTCAAAAATAAAAAGGGACCAGAGCAGAAGAAATGCTCTCTCTGTAATGTCTGCATAGGGTATGTCAGGTGGAGACGTCTGGAGGTGAGAGTGAGTGGTGGTGGTATTGTCAACCCGAAAGCAATATGCACCCTACTCTATACTCCTCCCTAGGACCTCGCCTTTGGGATGTATTTGTCATCTGCACCCTGTATTTCCCTCCACTGTCTTCACTGCCCTCATCCCCTGTAAGGTAAAGAATTTAACTTTACAAAAAAAATGTGGTCTTTGTCCTTGGTTTCTGAAAGAGAACCTCTAAACCCTTGGAATTTCCCTAGTGATTGACGTGTCTGTGATGAGGACTCCAGACCAACCACAGCCGAAGGTTTATGCTAATGAGGTCACTCAGGTAGGAGCTGGCCAGGCTAAAAATACCACTGAGTGATATCAGCTGACCTCAGGGGGTTGAACATGATTCAATCAATCATGCCTATGTAATGAGGCCCCAGTAAAGGCTCTGGACATGGAAGCTCCATGGGCTTCCTGGTTGGTGAATGACATCTATGTATGTGGGAGGGCAGCAAGTCCTTTTTTGAGACATGGAAGCCCTGTGTCGGGAACCCTCCCAGACCTTGCCTTATGTGTCTCTTCATTTGCATCCTTTTTGCTATAATCAAACTATCATCATAAAGATAACACTTTCTGTGAGTTCTGTGAGTTGTTCTATTGAATTATCAAACCCAAGGGAGTAGTGGGACCAAGCAGGTCAGAAGTGAGGGAGCCCTGAGAACCCTTACAGTTACTTACAGCTGGCATCCTAAGGAGGTAATAGGAAAACCCTGAATTTGTAGCCGGCAGATCACAAGTGAGGGTGCTGTGGAGTCATCAAGCTTCTGGCTGGTGTGTAAGGTCTTGGGCAGACTTGGCAATCTGCAGGACTGACCCCTTTAACTTGTGAGGTATGACCTAAGCTTCGGGTGTTGTTGGTGTTGTTAGGTGCCGTCGAGTCGGTTCCAACTCATAGCAACCCTGTGTACAACAGAACAAAACACTGCCTGGTCCTGCAACATCATCACAATTGTTGCTATGTTTGTGCCCATTGTTGCAGCCATTGTGTCAATCCATCTCGTTGAGGATTTTCTTCTTTTTCGCTGACCTTCTACTTTACCAAGCTTGATGTCCTTCTCCAGGGACTAATCCTTCCTGATAACATGCCCAAAGTATGTGAGACATAGTCTTGTCATCCTTGCTTCTAAGAGCATTCTAGCCGTACTTCTTCCAAGACAGATTTGTTTGTTCTTTAGGCAGTCCATGGTATATTCAATATTCTTTGTCTATACCATAATTCAAAGGCGTCAATTCTTCTTCGGTCTTCCTTACTCATTGTCCAGCTTTTGCATGCTTGGGTCAGGTGCACCTTAGACTTCAAGATGACATCTTTGCTTTTTAACAAATAGGTCTTTTGCAGCAGATTTGCCCAATGCAATGTGTCATTTGATTTCTAGACTGCTGCCTCCGTGGGTGTTGATTATGGATCCAAGTAAAATGAAATCTTTGACAACTTCAAGTCTTTTCTCCATTTATCATGATGTTGCTTATTGGTCCAGTAGTGAGGATTTTTGTTTTATGTTGAGGTGTAATGCATACTGAAGTCTTTGATCTTCATCAGTAAGTGCTTCAAGTCCTCTTTCAGCAAACAAGGTTGTGTCGTGCATAACGCAGGTCATTAATGAGTCTTCCTGCAATCCTGATGCCCCATTCTCCTTCATAGAGTCCAGCTTCTTGGATTATTTGCTCAGCACACAGATTGAACAAGAATGGTGAAAGGATAAACCCTGACGCACACCTTTCCTGACTTTAAACCACTCATCCCCTTGTTCTTTTTGAATGGCTGCCTCTTGATCTGTGTACAGGTTCCTTATGAGCACAATTAAGTGTTCTGGAATCCTCATTCTTTGCACTGTTATCCATAATTTGTTATGATCCACACAGTTGAATGCCTTTGCGCAGTCGATAAAACACAGCTTAGGGTGATAAAGGTTGGAGGCAGAAGAGTTTTATGTGCAGCTGGTATCAGAACAAAAGGGGACCGAATAGAATAGAAATTAAGTAGAATAGATTGATTTTTTTTCTCCACACAGTTTAGTGTCAGAAAAACCCAAAGCCAAACCCATTGCTGTCGTGTCAATTCCAACTCATAGCGACCCTATAGGACAGAGCAGAACCGCCCAGTAGGGTTTCCAAGACTGTAGATCTTTATGGAAGCAGACTACCGTATCTTTCTCCCATGGAGAGGCTGGTGGTTTTGAACTGCCAACCTTTAGGTTAGCGGATAAGCGCTTAACGACTGTGTTACCAGGGCTCGAAGTGTCAAAGAAGTGGGATTTAATATCCTTACACCCTCTAACACACACACACACACACACACACACACACACACACACACGACCCAAATCAATATTGGAAGAAGAACCTGGCAGGACTTTTGCTCAACAAAATGTACCACTCATGAAATTATTACATAGAAACTCAAAAGTAACCATCCAAGGGGCCCCATTTAGAGAACTTCTAAAAAAAAAAAAAAACAACTTAAAATTCCTCAGTATTATGTGATATGAGTTATGATATAAATAATTAACTTTCCAATTGTGAATGCCATAATTCAAACTCATACAGCCTTATGTGCCAAAAACATTTATGGTAAGGCAATGAGTTAGAAATACATTAGATGATAATTTAGACCTGGATGTAGTCTGTCTCTTTTCAGCCATTCATTTGCAGCACAAACATTCCTGAGCACCTTCCATGTGCTAGGCACCGTTAGCATCAGACCCTCAAACCGCCCAGGACATCCCAGATCTCAGGGAGACTCAGTGTGTGAAGATGCTCCACACCTCCTCATATGTGCTGGGATACAGAGGAGCAAAGGGAAGTGGTAGTCCAGCGGAGCCATCAGTTCTCCATGAGCCAGCTGGGAAGGACATCCCAGAGGAGCTGACAGGACTTGGATCTTGAAGAATGAGTAGAAATTGGCCTATCAGACAAAGACAGAAGAGTACTCTGGGAACAGCTCAAGGGTCAAAGACAGGTGTTATAGAAATGGCGAGAGATTTTATGCGGGGGAGCGTGGGATACGTGTAAAGACCTGATCCGGCCTTACAGGGCTGACGAGATAGCTTGGA